AAGTTTTATATTATTGTATTACTTGAAATTCAAATTGCCTCTCTTGATCACATTCAGAACATTTTGGTATTTCATTAATTTGATTTTCTTCAGAAATGTATAGAACTTTTCCTCCTCTGTCATATCTGTTACCATAAAAATTATATTTTATATTAAAAGTATATTTGTTGAACATATTTTACTAAGCAATTTAAAGTTTACCGTAGAATTTGATCTGGATCTTTGTCAATAGTTAAACGAAATTCAGAAAATACCTCATCTTCCTTCTGATTGCACATACTTAATAATTCATTTTGTACATCTTCATTTTGAAAAGTTCCAGCTTCACCTTCATCTACCATCTTTTTATATGTCCTAATCTCTTCTTCCTCTTTCTCAGCATTATTTTCATTATTACATTCTTTATCATCCTCTGATTCTATTACTATTTCATATTCAGGAAATAAAAATTTACTGTTTTTTGTTGGTTGCTTATTTGTACCACAAGACTCTTTGTGACCACATTTCCAATCAAAAATTTGATGGGTACGACAACAATAATTTATAAGTTTACATTTGGAACAGTGAGTAGGTGCATATATTCCACATACATGGCATGTTTTTACCCATTTGCTTGTACCTGGGGACATTTAATTTAATGCACATGAAATTTCAATATCATAAATTACTCAAAATACCTTTGCTAATTCATTGACATGTACATTAAATTTTTTGGAAACACATACTGATATCTGTCCTCCAATCATGTTCCTCTACAGGAGGTACAGGTGGATAAAATTCATTTAATCTTGGTAACTGAGCTCTGAAAACCTTCAAGTTTCCATTTTCATTTAATTTGCAACATTCCGATTTTCTACATACAAAAACATATATAGTCCTATGAAATGCATCCTCCTTATTTTCATAAGGAGCGTATATTTGACATAAAAATATACAAGGTTCATGACAATATTCGCATTGAAGTTCTTTCTCGCCTGGGATATTTTTTAAATTAAGCCATGCCGGCTTGCCACCAACTTTACTGGGAAAGAATCTACTTTCCAAACGCCATGCGTCACATTTTTCCACGAAACCTAAATCTATTGACATTATGTATAAAATTTATTCAATTAATTTACATCCAATATTATAAATGCTTATTTTTGACGTATCACACTGTAACACTGTGGAATGCACTAGCATCAATATAATATAAGAGAAAACTAAAATGACTACAATCTCTAATGAATATAGGTTAATTCAGAAATTAATCATTGAAATAAGGATGGAACGTAAATACAGCACATGACTACAGACTTAAGATGTATTTAGACATTGCACACGACGCTATCTTCCGTGTACTGTTCTGAAATATCGATGAAGACTACGTTCTGAAATATCGATGAAGACTACGTTTTGAAATATCGTAGTTACCGACGACAGTATAACCAGTTACCAACGATAGTATTAACAGTTACCGACCACAGTATTTACAGTTACCTACGACATTATTAACAGTTACCGACCACAGTATTAACAGTTACCGACACATAAAACACAACTACAGGGTATTAAGGGCTTGAATAAAGTGGCGCCACAACAAGTGCGAACTTTTACAAAAGCCGTAAGATAATTCCCAGAGACACACGCCGCAGACAATATAATTTTCTGTATAACGTTGCGAAGAAACAACAGAGTTAAAAACGCACTAATGAAATTGAATCCTAGAATATATAGTTCAATATGAAAATTATCTGGTTAAAAAAAAATAATGTGGACACATTCAAAATTGTAATTGAATGCGATCTACCTCGAAAACTAAAATCAACTTTACCTAAATTTTTATGTTCACTTCTGGGATGTCAAATTGAAGATCAGAATATGTAATTTAAGATAATTATATTCCTAGTATGCTGAGGGTCATATATTGAGTACGACAAGGAATTTCGTATACACTGTGAAGAATTTTTGCGTGGAAAACATCACATTTTTCGCAGCTATTTGCACGGCATAATCCTTGGTATAGAATATTAATGCTGAAAAAAACAATATTCTACTCCAAGGAAAATACCGACCCAGGTCTCACCACGAGGAGGTTGCTGCGATCAGAGACCCGCCCACCCTCATGTTCTGCAATCGGCCCACCCTAACGGAATTCAAATAAAAATTTCAACTAATTCCCAAATTAATAAATTTACAAAATTAAGCGTCTCCGTCTGGAACACATTTGCTAATCAAATGCATTACAGAAGGAGCTACTTAGCACGAACCTACCCGGCCGAATATTAACCTACCTATGATAGTACCTAATATAATACTATATAATAGTATCCTAAATATTAATACCTATTACTAATATAAATATAACTATTCATCATCTTTAAATGTTTCAATTTAAATTTGAATATTAATTCTCAAATGTTCATGAACCTTTGAGCTTCTAAATCCTAATAAATTCCCTACTTAACCATGGTATTTTAATACGTGTTTACATATGTATTGCGTTGTGTCAATGCTGTCCCACGAAGATACCTAGCTGGAAGGGGAACAAAATATGTTTCACACAACATAATATAATTAGTAACAATATGAATATCAATTATCATAATATGAGCATAATTAGTAATAATATTAATATAAATAATATAATCACATAATTAGACAAAAATCACATAAGAAGTCAAACCATGAAATAAAGAAACATTACACAAGAAACAGAGCAACATAAAATATACAATATTATATTAATTCCTAAACTTTGTTCATGAACCTTTGAGCTTCTAAAGCCCAATAAATCCCCTACCTAACCATGCATGGCATTCTAATCTGTGTACTCTATACATGTATATATACATGAATATTCATGTTTACTGTTGATATTTCACGATGATACCTATCTGAAAAGGGAATTGAATTGGTTATACACAAAATAATTTATATCATGAAATAATATAGACACCTGAAAATAAGACACAATTAAACAAACATACAATTGAAACAAATACACAATTAACACAAATATACGAGTAAAACAAATAGACAATTAGATAAAATAAATACGAATCGACATTCAACGTATGATAAATAATATTCTGACTTAATATGTTCCCTCCATTCTTTTCAATATATGTTTTTATATGTATAAATACATAGCCTGAAACAAAAAACAATCTATTCGATTAGTAGCAGTAAAGAAATGCAGTCAAATTTGAATAATGAGTTTATTTTACCTGAGTGCAAAACAAAAGAAGAGTAGATTCTCAAAAAATCCCACGAGAACAGTGGCAAATACAAATATTCTCAATATAATATTCTCAATACTATGTAATTGAATGTATATTCAAATACTTAATTCTTGTAAAATTCTTAAAGAAAGGAAATAACAGTAAAAGGAAAAAGGATTGTAAGTATTTATTATTACAATTTACTTGCTTCTAGAAAGACAAAAGAAGTGCGTGAGAGAGTGAGAGAAAGAGTTACCGAAAAAACGAGAAAGCGGATGAGAATGGATGTGAAGCGTGAAAGATAAAGATAAAGGAAGTGAAAGCGAAAGCGTTAGAATAAAGCGTGAAAAATAAAGCAAGTGAAGGCGACAGTGTTAGAATAAAGCGGGAAAGGTAAAGTAAGCGAATGAGTTAACACAATGCGTACTGATTAATTCTTAGAAAACCAGCTGATTTTTTAATAAGATCAACTTATAAGTTCGTAATATATTACTATGTGAAAAATATTCAAAGATCTTATTATTATTTCATGAGTATTAAACAAGTGATCACTTCTAATAAAATTTAATCATTTTGTAAATAGTATGGTAGTTAGCAAAGTTACAAAGATAGGTTTAAATAAAAGCGAGATGTTCCGTTTCTGGTACGCAATGTGTTAAGGGCCTCACACGCTGAACATGCGGCGATGCAAACAACGGCCCCTAGGTCCCATAAAACCTGCCACCGGAGTCAAGCCCACTGCACACATTGAAACAAACAACGACTCCTACAGTTTCACGGTCCTACTTTAACATTAAGCCTTCGATCGGTCAGTTCTCTTCTATAGCCCCATTTTGCCCCTAAAGTACCATTTTGACACTTCAGCTTAAGAGGTCAGTAAGTCAACCCTGTGGATTCTTTTCAGTTTGCTGTGTGACACCAACGTTTAAACAAAGAACACAAAATGTCCCATAAACATCCATTACCCATATTGTTAGACTTACCCAAGGGAGTATCTAATTTAAAAAAGTTTCAGTATCAAAGTTTCATACAATACATTATTCGCGTAATCAGAGAAGACGATCAACAAGTAACAAACAGCAAACGCAAAATTAATTGGCCACGCAGTATCAAAATAGGCACCCCGCAAATTAATTGGAACCTTCATTATAAATGGATATCAAACGTACGAAGAAAACCATAAACCTTTCGTTATAAAGGCGTTGACTCCGCCGAAATAAAATATCTACCAATTGAATAACATTGTTCATTATCTAATCGACATTTCCAACACAATGGTTTCTCTAAACTAATGTTATTCATCTTTTGATAAATATTTTATTATCAATAAAAACCTTATTTA